CTATATATATATATATATTATATATATATCATAATATATAATATATATATTATATATATTATATATATATAATACAGTAATACAAAACAGCTATGAGTTGTAAACATACTAGAAGCAATACAATTTATTAAATCACAAATATTTCAAACACTCCTGTGTTCTTCCTCAGTGTGAGGACAACTGACAAAAAATACATAGTAAAGCAACATTCACACCAAAGTCGAATTCGGTTCACATGGCCAACGAAACGAAAAAAGAACATCGAATCAGCGGTAAAGAACAGAGGCGCGTAATAAGACGCGCATCCTAAACGTTCTACTTAATATGGAATAAACAAAGTAGATAAAAGCTGGATAAAGGCCTAGGAACCAAAAAAAAAAAAAAATAAGTATACATAAATGAATAGTCTGATAAGTAATCTAAGTCTTTATTTAAACACTTCAATTCTTCTTTGCGTCTATGTGAGAGGGATAAAAAGTTATTAGCGATCAAAGTAAATCTCTGTGGAGGTGTATCGCCATACCTAAGTTACTTTCATGTAATTTATATACACATATATAGCCTATAGTTGATATTTTTCTTCGACTTTAGTCACACTTTCAGTGTTTTAAAAATTAGTCTTATAATTTACTTCCAATTTACTTTGAACTTTACAAATAAAATCAAAAGTCAACATGCAAAACTATAAATAAATAAAATGAAAAGGCAACATGCAAAACATACAGGTACCAGACAAAATAAACTTGATGATAGCAAATGTAGGCAGGGCCAGAGCAGCACCGAAGCCCTCAAAGAGGGTCCAGAGGGCAAAGCTGCCAGGAAACTCTGACAACTTAGGAATTGAAACACCTACTTCCTCGATTTTAGAGTCTCACATTCTGTAAAAATTACCGCTACATGAAATACTGCTTCAAAACAGCAGCGTATAATAATCAGTGTTATATATATATACTGTTTAATTGAGCTATGAAATAAACATTCAATCCAAATACAGATTTTCCTAATAAATTTTTGTATTAATAAGTTACTGTACTAGCTATATTTACTTACAAAAGACGATAGAAAATATACCTTAAGACCTTCGCCTCCTTGTCCACCTGATGCTTCTGCCTCGGCGGCTCTCTTTTCTGCTTCTTCCATTTTCTGTCGTTTCCGTTTTACCCCCTCTGGATCTTTCAAACCCCTGCCTTCAGCCTGAACACAAAAAATAACAAGTTCTTGTAATCTTGAAAGATCCAATGAGGGCAGTATAATAGAGGCAGTAGATCTCAAAAAGGTCTATTAATCAAGCAACTAATAATCAATCAGCGAAGTGTTTCTAGAGCTCATGAGGGCAGTATGCGGGGCAGTAGGGTTAAAAAAGATCTATTAATCAATCAACTATTAATCAATCAGCCTCATGAGGTCAGTGTAATTAGCCGAGTGTTTCTAGAGCTTCTCATAGGAGCTAAAAAATTGATTGTTTTAAGTAAGGATTAAGTAAGGACTGCAGGCTTTGAAACAATTTTACATATATATTTTTTTGGACAGAGGCATACTCTTAGAAATCCTCTGGCTAATCCAGGTTGATTTCTTTTGTACCACATGTATTAATATAATTAAACAATAAATAAATAAGCAAGACTCGTATTACCTACATCAAAACAGAAAGTTACCAATGTTAAATGAAGGTTTAAGAGATAAAACCTTTTATAAGAAATTTGTACATGGAAATGTTTTTGACGATTGACAAACCTCTTTGGCTCTTTTCTCTGCAGCCTCTGCTTGTTGTCTTCTTCTGTCTTCCTATATGAAAAATTTATGACATCAGTATTTAGTTAATACTGTATACACAGATCTACTAAAAATATTAAATATTAAGATTGATATTAAATTTTAAGATAATTATAATTATGATGAAATCAATTATAAGAAGTCGCCAGGGCAAAAATCTAGATCTAGAAATCTTCCTACGCATTAAAAAAAATCCAAGCTATTTTTTCCCTGGATTAGGGCTATATGTCTCAGTATACAACCAATATTACTAGTAATTAGTATTTCAGTTACGCTTGAGCCATTATTTTCTTTGTGTATCCATTCACAAGTTTAAGTTAGTTGTTTAGATACACTCCTACTGAAACAATAACACTTTACAGTGTATTTTAGCTGGTCAAAATCCATTTTAAGCAGCTAAAACGCTATGACGTAGGCCTATGTTAACTTCTGTATGAGGTACTTGCTACTTGTTATTGTATTTGTATAACACTTTTTCTTGCGGTTATGAAGCGTTTTTTACATCCCTGGTCATTCGGGTTTTGCAAATGGCAATACTGTGTGAAAATACTAAATTACGATTTTTAAAAGATTTAATTAATAGGAAAGAATACTGAAGTGATTTAGCGGCGATTTAAAATATTATTTTAATCGCCGCTAAATCACACACAAGAGTACTAAAATATGCATAGCGCCGTAAATGTAAACAGTACTGACAGGAATTTACGCCTAGACCTAGAGAATGTTGTGATAGGCCATACCTAGGCTCCTTGATCGAAACAAAGTAGTGGCGGGCAAAAGGGCTGCAAAACCGGGCACGAACTGTCACCGACAATAATAAAGAGTAAGCTAGGCCTAGGAGTGCTCGTCTTTTAAAACAAAAACATATTTTAGAAAAAAATCCGCACTAACCGTTGATAGATTGTTAATGATATAGTTAACACATACTAACCTCATCAGGCTGTTCATAGTCGTCATTTGAACCAAAAAGACAAGAATCACACACACCCATCTTTCCGTATTTTGTTAATCTGTTTTGTTTTTCATATCGGGAATAATACAAAGTGCGCCACCTATAGACAAAATATATTCCCCCACCCCACCTCCTCTTGTCGTTGTGAGCACCTGTGCTCACGTTGACTGCTATCCACTAATAATTAAGCTACACTATTAATTAATTAATCATTTAACGTACTGTATATCAAGTAAACTAAATGTAAATAGTAAGAGCGTATAAGCTGTCGTTTCGTCGGGAGTGTAAAGTCATACATCAAGAAGATGGTCAAATAACAAGATTATCCATGAAGTAGACGAGTAGGCCTAGACCTATATACTGCAGTCTGCTAGTGTCATTAGATAATTCTCGTCTTTCATTGTTTTTAAATTAATGAAACTGTTCTAATACCAATAGGCCTAATAGATCCAGGACTTGAATAGTTCTCTGTGGGGACGAGAGCTGCTTATATCAAGTTCCACAAATGTATTTAGTACAATATACATCTAACGTGTGAGTCGGCATTTGCGAATGCATCTGTCTGAAAATAATTCTATTACAATCGGTGAATGCAGAGTCGTGGGTCCATACTTTACTGTATCGCAAAATGAGCTATTTTCTAATCAAGCAATATCATATTTCTCGTTCATTTATTTATTTATTCATATAAACTTGTTTCATATAAAGTTATTACAAATCTAGTGGTCACGAAGATCCATCATCCGTCTCGCTACTTGTACTTTCTTTACAGTACCGTAGATGTTATTAAATTCTGCGTCAGTGATGAATCATTAAAGAATTTTGAGCATATAATTTAAGCAAATAGTGTCTATCTTGAGTTGTGATTGGCCTTCAACATATACTATAGAGCTCACGTTCGATGATTTACCTTCAGAGCCATTAGTAACCGCAAAACATAGAAACTAATGATCAGAAGTCAATAATGTCATATACCCCGCACGTCGAGAGCGATATAAATAATAATAAGCATCTTATACATCATAGGCCTATATACGAGTTAATGACCTTTGAATTTCGGTCAGAGTTTGAAAATAGAGTATTACCATACAAATTCCAAAACCCAATTGTAATCGCAGGGGCGAATCCAGAACTTGTGCATTAGCCCACTGGGTCCCGTTGGTGAGCTCATGCGGGTTACATGGTTCGAAAGCTTTGGCTTTCATAATATAATAATAAATTGACCAACATTGGATATCAATCATTTATAGAGGGCGCCAATTGGATTATGATTTCATGATTGCCCGACCTGGAAATTAAATATAGGCCTATGTCTCGCTCATACACTCAGGCTTAAATAGACAACAAAAAATAACAAAATCTTTTTATTTTAGATGTTACAGTATTACCAAAAAAGACTCATGAGATACAGAGAACGAATATCTTATAAAGCTATTCCGTTTCTTCAAAGTTTTTATCTGGCAGCTACAGTATGGAAAAAAACCGTGATGTGGTTAATGATGTGTTTTTCTTATGATTTATGACATATTTATTTTTGTTTGTGTTGTTACATGAATCGCCTAGAGGATAACTCCAATGCTGTAAAAAAACAACCGGCAATGAATGAACCTGTATTTGAACTTGTAATAGCTGGCTACAATCAATAAAGCCAATCAAGTTACGATACGATCAACATTAACCGGATGGTTATAAATTAGGTTCCAGTTCTTCCTGCATCATTATTGTTGCTTGATTTGGTGAAATAAATCATATTACATGATATATGATATTCTTGACATGCCTAATAGTAGTAGAAGGTTTTAAACACAATTTATTTTCTACAAAATAAAACTGTAACGTCCATTTAATAAGTTTAAATTAGGAACTAATAATTTCTCAAACGTTGATAATTATACAAAAAAAGTTAAATATATATACACATGCATTGGAGTTAGAGATCATTTTCGTTTATTATTTCTCTTTATAAATAAAGGCAAACATTATTAGTGCTAAATAAATATCTTGTGTTATAAAACATGATGAAAAATTTGACGCAAACGTTAATGTTTGAAAAAATCACTATTTAATAAAAAATATCACATTATAATATAAATTTTATTGATTATATATCACATAATAGAACATTGGACTAAAATAGCCGCTATAATTTTTACAGGCGACATGTCGACATTCGTAAAATAAAATGTGTTATTTGAAAACAAATCACAAACATGTGTCACGAAAATGGAAAAACTTATGTGTTTTACTACTATGAAATTAACAACTTCAACGTCAATAAATTTTGCACTAACAAACGCCCTCAATGGCCGTGTAAGTTTTTGACACTATAGCCTCTATACAAAAACGTAATGGAAGTATTGTATCAAAATTATACATAGGCTAAATTTTAAAGAAGGGAAAATGAATCTGCGAGCTGGGAGTGAAGTTGTCTCTACCGGAATACGAACCTGGGGTCTTCGGCTTTGTATGCAGGAGCCTCATTTAAATTGGGTAACTGGTCTTTTATATCCATGTTCACTCCCATTGTGTAACTTTTGTTTCACATTCACATATTCCTCTTCTTTCACGTTCTTTATCTTTATTATATTATAATACTGTAAATATATATATATATATATATATATATATATACATATATATATATATATATACCCTGTCTCTTATACACATCTAGATGTGTATAAGAGACAGATACAATAGTATGCAAGACAAGGTTCAGTACTAAGACTCACTTTAAGATCATTAAACGCTTTGTCACATCGCTGCTTCCAATTCCAT